AGTGTTCTGAGAAGCTTAAAATGAAGAAATAAGCGTTCTAAAATGCTTTAAAAATTCAAAGACATCTTATAATTTTATTAAATCTTAAAAAATTGTAAAACAATTCAAGAAGATTAAGAAAAAATAATAAGTAGATACACAAGCATAAAATTTTTTTTCATGCGAAAACAAAAAAACGTGAATTGAACGCATTAATATTTTTAATTAGAAAGTGAAAATTTAAAGAAATCACACCAAAGTCGTTAGTAATGATAGTTTAATAATTATTAGCGTTTAATGTAAAAAGGCGTACAAATTTTGACCTATTAATCTATTATACAATCCATACCTATTAAAATTCCTAGCATTGCTAAACAAATAAGGTTTTTTATGGGTTTTTTTCGTGTTGATTTGAATAAAAGACCTAATTTAATATAAGAAAATTGATATGAGAATAAATGATAGGACTAAAGGTTATAAGCGCTTTATTTATACTAAATGCTATTTTTACACACTATAATACCCAATCGCTGATGTTGCTATCTGAAGAAATAAAGCATATTTTTTCATGCTAAATAAATTTAGTTCGAAACAAAGTCAGTAAAATTATTTGTTAAAAGAATTATTAAGATTTTTACGCTTAAAGCGTATAATTTTTGACTTAAGTCGAATTAAACGTAGAATATTGCAATATAAACATATCAGGCATTGTTAACGATAAAATTTTCATTTACACTAAATCCAGTAAAATCAAAGTTAAATCCATGAAACAAATAGTTTCGAAGTTGCGAGGGTTTTATTTGAAGCAGTCATTAGTGAAATATAATAATTTCTAAGTAAGAAAAAAAAACCAAAACAAAAAAAAACTAACAGTTTTGAAATTAAAATGCTTTACGTGAGAAAATTAAAACTTTTCATTTATATCTTTTAATCTACAAAACCATTATAACTTATGACGTAACTATTTACGAATGTCTAATAGTTTTTCTCAATTCAGAGTGAAAAAATTAAATAAACCAAAAAAAAAAACGAAAATAATATTATGCATGACTTGATTAAATAACAATATTTCTCTTCCCTTAATTCTCCACAGTGANTGATCGATACTGGGAGATATAGTGGCCTATTAAAGGGTGCTAATATGAAGGATTTCACACTTGGAAGATTTTGGATAAACGGAAGTTAAAAACAGCGGATTTCTTTCTTTAAATTTCAATCGTTTCCTCGAGTTTTTAGAGATTTCCCTTGATTATCCGACTATTTAAAAAAAAAAAAAAACATTTCCTTCCTCCGACATGCATATGGACTCTATGCCAAATTTATCTAAATCATTTCATTTTAAATACAGCAGCCATTCACCATTTTTATTTTTCATTGATGAGTTCATTTTATGAAATTCCTTTTATTCTATTCCCAAATCTCCAGCAGTCTGAGATGAATAATTGTCTGTTTTTTTTTCTCACATATTTTGCTTCTTTTATCTTTCCTGTGTATATTTTTTCCAGTAGTTTTATTAATTTTTATTTAAAAATTTCGTTCTACTTAAATCTACAGATACCCTACTTTCACTTTTTATTTTTCCGCGATGGATGTAACGTACCATAAAATTTTTTCGATTCTCTGCAATTAATTTTGCTTCTTGACGATGCAAAAACAAAATTTAATTTAATTCTAAAATATGTTTATTTTAAAATTTCAATCGGTACAAAATTAATAATTTTTTCTAACCATCACTGCATCCAAAAACTTTTTTTTTAAATTTATATAATATTTTTAATTATCATAAAAAATATTCACCAAAGAGATTATTCTCGTTCGTATTGCTTCTTCAATGCTAAATGATTATTTTGTATTTATTATTCTAATTTGCATAAATTGAGTGCCTACATAACATAGTGATTATAAAAGAACTTTTAATAATTATAGAATGGTTGCTTCATCCTAAAATGTTGCATAATCATACGATTACTTCATAATAGAATAACGGAACAATAAATTTACTTCAAACAACCAAAAATGCACAAAATAAAATTAAGATAGATTGATAAATAAATATGACTGGTAAACACCGTTAAATAAGGGAAAAATAAATAGGTTGCAAATAAATATCATCATAGATTTTATTAATTTTTATTCTCTTGGTAACCAAATATATAAGTATACGTAAGTATACGTACATAGAAATACGCAATTACTTTATAGCTTTCTATAATATGTAGAGAAAAGTAACCCCTATAAAAAGTTACAAAAATAGTAAAAAAATGAAAAATGACTTCTTTTTTTTCAATTTAGAAATTAATTTTTGAAGTGTTTTTTCATTGCTATTCTTCAAACGTGTTTAGGTATGACGAGTATTTTAAACTGTTACAGTGACTTTAAGAAAAAAAGCCATATTTTGAGCGGAGGAAAATTTTTTGTATTTCTGAAATTCTTAGAATTTATGTGAAAGATCGGAAAACTGGAATTCCATAAAATGATGAACAAAATCTAATTTTTGAAAAATAGGCATTCCAAAATATATTTATAATTAAGCCTACATGATCATCCATAAAATAAAGGATTATCAGATTTTCATAATTGTGCTTAACTTGCTGTATTTTTTTCTCGATACACTTAGAAAACATTAAATTTTTTAAAGGAGACATTAAACTTCGTAAAAATTTCAAACTCTGATGTTAGCTAATTTTTAAAAAAATCTATTAACTCGAGTGCCAACAACAATTTTTGTTTCGTTACTGTTTATAATGCGGAAGATAAAATTTGTTCAGTTTCCGTCTTTTCTTTACATAATTTCAAATTATAAATTTTCTAAAAAAAAAAACAACAACAACTGATAATTAAAAACCTCTCCGATTAAAATAGTTTCGTCAAGAGTTTTTCAGAAAAGTGAGATCATAGTAGACGGTGAGATCAATTCATTACGTGTGCTTTTATTTTTACGATCGATGAACTAAGGCAACTCAATTTGACACGATGTATTTTTTATACTTTTTAAACTTTTTTAACAAAGGCAACTCAAGTTGACACGATGTATTTTTTAAACTTTTTTGACAAAGGCAATTCAAGTTGACACGATGTATTTTTTAAACTTTTTTTAACAAAGGCAATTCAAGTTGACGCGATGTATTTTTTAAACTTTTTTTAACAAAGGCAACTCAAGTTGACACGATGTATTTTTTTAAACTTTTTCAGGTACTTCATCTTTTTGCATTGGTGGCCTACTGTGTGGCCGCCGTCAAGGTACAGGAGAAGATTACATTGAAGAAAACAGAAGGAAGGAATGTCGATTTGTTATCTTATGGTTTAGGTAAGCNAAGTTGACACGATGTATTTTTTAAACTTTTTTTTAACAAAGGCAACTCAAGTTGACACGATGTATTTTTTTTAACTTTTTCAGGTACTTCATCTTTTTGCATTGGTGGCCTACTGTGTGGCCGCCGTCAAGGTACAGGAGAAGATTACATTGAAGAAAACAGAAGGAAGGAATGTCGATTTGTTATCTTATGGTTTAGGTAAGCTTCACATACAATGAACCTTTCGAAATGAATCTTATGACTCACAGGAAAATTCATTTATTTGAGTCAGATTAGGGATGAAGGAACACTACATACCCGTCTACACCAAAATAGTTTAATAATGCAATTGCAAAACTTTTTTGGACTTGTTGTTTTAAGCAAACAAGCTTTTAAAAATGGATGTTCGGAAAATAAAATAACTTTTTTTGATTTTTAAACTAATTGTAATTTTTGATGAAAATATATATACTATCTGTAGGAAAGTATACAGACTACCTGGTTGTTATCATGGAGGAAGAATAATGGTGAGGGGGTGTTTCTCATGGTTTTGCCTGGGTTTGTTAGCTCTTGTGGTTGGAAACTTGAACTCTGAGTTGTGTATGTGGACAATGCTGCACTCCCAACTCTTATGGCAATATTTCTGCCCATTTCTCTTCCATTCACATAGCAAGGCTTGCACAGACGTGATTTTAAGAAATGGGTGTTCAAAAACTGGACCAACCTTCGCAGGGCCCCATTCTAAATCCCATAGAACATCTTTGGGATGAATAAGAACGCAGGTAGCCAACCAAATTGCTCACTGTAGGCACTCACTTCAGCTGTGATGGAAGTCAATTCCTACTCAGAAACTGGCGGAAAGTCTTTTCAGGCTGTCATCGATGCAAAAGGGGGAACAACATCATAATATTGTGTGCCTCAAGACGCTCTAAATCCATATTGTTGGCCAGATAGTGTATGTTTTAGACTTGTTTAGGCTGTGCTCTTCCATTTTAATGCTAAGCGCGTGATCTAGATGAAACCTTTGCCGTCGTATGATTGTTATACATCTCTGATCAAAAATTAATTTCGTTGAGGGGAAAAAATTCTTTATTTTCAGGAATGTCATTGAAAAAAATTGTAACCTTAAATGAACAGCATTGATCGATACTGGGAGATATTGGTTCTTT